GCATTATGGGCATGCCCTACCTAGTCTAGGTGAAAAACCAGCAAAGAGAGGCTGTGCTGTTGTGGTCGAAGGCATGGTTACAGGCAGATGGATCTCGGTCTGAGTCTGGTTCCTCCCTCATGACCTTGGTAAGTTAATTCTTTTGCCTCCAGTGCCTATTCTGTAAAATAAGGCTCAATAATAAGTACTTGCCTCACAGAGCTCACAATATGTAAGATAAAGTAATCAGTAGTAAATAGGGAATCAAAGGTACACAACTCTAGAAAATCGGATAATCCCACGTGTGGTAGGCTACTAGAGAATGCCAAGTACTTCACGGATAGGACACCCAGAAATCTCTTTTGCCTATGCCTGAGATTTGGCTAATTTTCCATGACATTAATAAGCACTTGATAAATGTCATTATTATATTATAATATTTTTGTTATCATATCCTCACACACTCTTACTTCCCACCAGTGCAGAGAGCATAACTCTGGGAGGGGCGAGGAGTAAATAGGCAAATTCCCCCATGGCTACTCAGCACACATACTCTGTTCACATTGTCAAAGAAATATGTTTATAGCACATGCTGCAAATGCTTCCCTTGAGAAGGAAGATCGGAAGGTCCTATAATCAGATACCCTCTAATTCATTATTTGTCAGCTTGAAGGCCTCCCTCTCTACTGGGCTCGGCAGGCAGACAGGTGGCATCAGATCCCAGCTCTGTCACCGCCTGTGATGTGTCCTGGGTCACAGAGTGCTTATGCTGGCCAAAGCATGTCTGGTCGGCATGGGCATTCTTCCACAGCAAACATTCTCAGACATGCATAGAGATTACTTGAAGTCTTTTTTTCTCCTAAAACTTTAATATCCTGTATTTTCTGCCTCAGCTAGGCTTGGGAAGTGGGGGAGAGGGTGTGGCAGCCAGAAACTTAGCTTACATGAGCCTCCGTTTCCTCATTTATGAAACAATAGGAGTTTCATACTTAACTCAAAGGGTTATTGTGAGGACTGAGCCTGATAAAGTATGGAAATCCCCCGAAATCCCTCTTACGTGTTCATTTACTTCCTTCATCCCACAAGTACTTCTCGAGGATCTATGTGTCCTCAATACCCCAGGCACTTAGCTGGTACTCCCTTCCCCTCCCCCCGCACGCAGGCTTGCAACATCTTCCTGCAGTCCTTGCAACGTCCTTGCGAGAGGTGGCAACTGCCACGATCCATTTGATAGCAGAGGATTTTAAAGCATGGAAAATATTTAGTGGAGAAATATAATTCCATCCTTTAATTTCTTCTTTCAAGATAATCCATTCCTTCCAAAGAATTGCCTTTGTTTAATCCTGCTCAAACTGGCTGTCACTCTGAGGAATGAAGAGGTAGATTAGGGATGCTGTTGGCTTCTAGGAACACGAAGAGCAGGAGTCCCTAGAAGTGCTCACTCAGGAGGCACCCCTAGGGGGCACTGGGGAGCCGGGCACGGGAGGAAGTGCTGCCTGTACAGCACACAGACTGGTGTAGGACTGGACCAAGATCTTTTTTCAAAACAGGCAGGTCAGCCATCTGGCCTTGCCTGTGGGTGGGGTGGGCCTTGATCTACCTGATATGCTTTAAGGATGCTGACATGCCTGCTGGCCCCCAAATATCTCATCAATCTAACCTTTTGCCTCATCATTAAAGACACTCCTTGGAGTCAAATCCAAGGTCTCCAAAAGGCTCTTATTAAAGCAGGTACTTAACATGAATGAGTTGATAAGATTAATTAGCTGTCCCCTTGGGCCCTGAGATCCATTTTTTGAAAAAGGATTACAGGGCAGGAAATGCAGACCAGCCCCAGACAGGTGCCAAGAGGCCACTGAGACTCTCCTCCTTAGGAGGAAGGGTTTGTGACCCGAAAACAAACCCAGGGCGGGGTTTTCAAAGCCCACCTTGAAAGTACTCTCACTGTTTTTGCCCCAGGGCTCGCTTTTCCTGGCTCTCTTTTAGCCTAATTTATTTGAAAGAGGGCAGATCCCTGGAGCTGAGCTTCAGTCTTGGTCTGCCTGGGGGGAAAGCCTGCCTTCATTTTCTCAGCTTCACCGTAAAACCAGGAATCAGGTGATCCCAGATTCTTTCCAGCTCATTGTCTCTCTTTATCTCTGCAGCCACTGCATCCTGCTTCTCCCTCTCTTACTTCCTGGTTTTACTACCAAGGAAAGGGAAGAGAATGGTGCAGTTGGCTTCTGGGGAATGTTCCAGAAAGACATAGCAATGCAGAGAGGAGAGGGTGAGAGAGGCCAGGAAACAAATGAATAAGGCTGTAGGGAGGGCCCAGGATTCAGCCCAGCAGCCCACAGCTCAGTCAGTGTCTTCCTCACAGGCCTTGCTACTGGCAGGGCTCCTAAGTGATTTTCCAGAGAAGCCAGTGCCCCTGAAATACCTGGCGGGGAATGCCATGAGCATTTGGAAAAATAATTCAGCTCTTCAGCATCACAATTCCCACTGAATTATGCTGTAGCTTTTTTCTTCTTGTCTGACAAAATGTAAATATCTCACTTTAAGAAAATGATTATTGCTTGGTGCTCCAGAGCCTCAAGACATTAAGGAAACACGAGTCTGAAGCAGGAGGCATGAACTCAAAGGCCTTAGGGCGGGGCAGGGACCCTAAGTGAGTAGAGCAGCCAGTGTGGCCCCGCAGAGCTCAGCCAGGCCCAGTGCAGGCTGGTATTTTGCCAAAATGCAGGCCCAGAGGTGCCAGGTTAATTTTTTATTTTTTGAAAAAGAAGTCAGATATCTAGATACTTTATGTGCTATCTTTCAATTTTTAAAAGTTAGCAGCTGATTAAAAACCAAGCAAATGAAAACCAAGAAATCCTTCTGCTGGCTACACAGCATGTGGTTGACCCTGGTCCAGGGCAGCCCTGGCTGGGGGCCTTGGTTTACAGTCTGGCGCAGCTGGTCCTTTCATGGACACTGTCTGGTCATTTGGACAGTCGGTTGGTCATTTAGAGGAGTTATCCTCAATTCGCGCCAAGGGCAGATCCCACCTGGAGGGTTAGTAACGGAATCCCAACAGACAACTCGTATTGGGTAGACCAAGTATTGCAGATCCTATTGACTCAACTATGCTTGTAACAGCATGACTTTTCTGCCTTCATCTTGGACTCCGCTTAAGTCTAATTAAAAAACAAGTTTTGCATAATACTTTAAATGCTATTTCACATCTCACTGTAGTTATATATAAACCTAAAAGCAAAAATCAAACAAAAAACCTCTTCTTTTATACTGGCCAGTCTTTAGCCTTCTACTTAGCACCAGGCATGAAATGTTCCATTTCTAAGTAATGACTCTTCTTTCTTTTTATCCAAGTCTCTTAATTGCTAATTTTTTCTCAAACTCTCAGCTCCAATTTACCCCTCAAAAGTTCACAAGGCATAATAGGGTTATACTTCAAGGGGAAAAATGAGTTATAAATTTCTTCCTTTTTTATAATTAATTATATACAAATATCATAGACATAACATATTATATAATTATATCAAATAAATTCTGGGTATTTTCTACATCTCTTTGTAAACGATGATTTTAAATGCTAAAATAACAATTATCAATGTTTATTGGGGACTCGTGGCGGGATCATTCTCTTTGAATGATCTTGGGATTCACACAGAAAACTGGAATGTAGACACAGTGCATTAGCCTCAGCCCTTCATCTGTGCTCAGTAGATATTTTTTGATGGAATAAATGAACTAATAATGGTGAGAAAGACAGGTTAAAATGATTCTGTTTCAGAATGGATAGATGCACCTTTCCCTTTAAGAAGTTAAACTATGCATGTCCAGTTCATTACTGGGGTTCATGAGTCTCTTAGATGGACAATTGAACCATGGGAGATGAGAGCAGAGCTTGCCTTACTTGTCATCCAGACCAGTAATTCCAGTTCTGCCAGGGTTCATTTTTGCCACATCAATATGCTTGAACTCTTCATATTTTTTCTTTGTCAACTCTCTATTTTATTATTTCTATCACGATTATGAATGAAAAACTAGAATCATTAGCAGACATAAACACAATATTATTGAATTTTAGTTAAATAATGTTGCTTGCATTCCTGGATCCTGAAACTTGTTCTCTCCTTGTTATAAAGGGTGATTCTAAAGGGTTAGAAATAGTAAGGACTTATTTCCATCAAAATAAGATATTTTTCTTGATAGACTGAAAAGGACTGAAGGAGAATTGAGCAGGAGAAACATTCCACGCTGTTGGAAGATACAGCATGTCTGTGTACCACCAGAGCTTGCTCCATACCTGAGAAATTCTTATCTAGTCCAACTTCCTCATTCACGGAAGAGCAAAGTGAGGCAGAGCAGCACGGGGACTTGCCAGTTGCAGGAATGGGACCCGACCCATGTCCCCGCATTCTTTCCATTGCCCCTGTGATGTCCATGCCTAGTCTCTCTGGCTCGCCTACTAAACATGGACGGCCACATAAAACAAGAGAGGAAACAGAAGTCCTGAGGCAGAATCTAGGTGGAAGTGGGGAGGTGCTGGGCCTCAGAGACAGTGAACATGAGAGTGGTGTGGATGAGGAATTTAGGGCACAATTGGGAAGAGGGGGTTACTATCTTTCATCCTGACTGTAGTCCTCTTTACAGAGGAGGTGATGCAGGATCGGAGAACAGAAATGACTGTGCAAGTTCTCATGGCCTGTCGGTGGCAGAGGGAAAGCCACAGCCCATCTCTGCCTCCTCACCCTGCATTCTGTGTACGGAGCCACTCTGGCTTTCCAGCTCTGACATCCCCGCCTGTGTGTAAAACCTAAAACGGTATCATATCCTGCAGGTATGAGGACTGTGGCATTTTTAAGAATCATGATGATTGTTGTTTTGCACTAGCAGGAAGAATCACAGATTTATCCCTGTGCCAGCTGCCCCCGAAGCCCTAGCTGGGGCTGGTCACTCACCCCCACCCTCATGCTGCCCAGCCCAAGGAGACAATGCACCCTGGAGTCATTCTGGAGCTGCCCCCCGTGGAAACTCACCGCGAATCGCTTCCCACAGCCCTCGTTGCCACAGCACCCACAGCAGTCATTGTTCTTCAGGCCCAAGAACACCAGCGCAGGGAAGATCATCTACCAGCAAGAGAAGCACCTCAGTGCGGGTCTGGGAGGTGAAGGGAGGGCCTGAGCCTGCCTGGCCTTGTGAGGAGCCCCATCTACCAAGCGGGACTTGGAGGCTTAAAGGGGGACGGCAAAAGTAACAGAGCATGGCTGGTGGGGTCGAAGCAGTGTTATTGAGTACTTAGGTTCCATTTGCCCTGACTAACTTCAGCTTCAATGAGGCAAGATTTTAAGATCCGGCACCCTGAGTTTCCGTTTAGATAGTGGGTTAGGACAAGGATAAGAAACTTATTCTCAATTGTCATGAAAAGTGAGTCTCTCTCTCTCTTTTGTCCTCTCTCCCTCTCTCTTTCTCAAGTGGAGGTTCCAAACTCTTGGAAACAAGAGGAAAAGAAATCATTAGTGTGAGAGTAGAAGAGGCCTCCACTGACATCTGCTTCTCTTGGTGACTTTAAGTCAATAATTTGTCAGAAAGCATTGTTTTTTGTTTAAAAAAAATCTTTTTTGGAACTATCTTGTTGGTATAAACAAATTATGTGGCCTTCAGTTTGGTTTATGGGACTCAAATGACCCATGAGAATTGCCAGCCCAAGCGTGGGGATTAATTACTTAGTAAATTTAGTTAACATGTCCTTGTCAGATCCTAATGGAGAGGGGAAATAAATTAAGGCACTGACTTCTCATTACGCAACGCTTGGGCTTCTGTTACCAACTAAATATCTTCCTGTTCAATAAGTACCCAATTTAAAAAGGTTGGAGGGCTCTCCTTTAGGGAGATTTTAAGGCTTCCCTACTTACCAAGACTCCGCTTCCTAATATTCCGCCGAAATACCAGATCTCATCAGAAAGGTGGTCGTTGTTGTCTATCACTTTTCCTCCAGGGAAAAATAGCAGGATGTTAGCCAGTAAGCCAAACACAACAAGGGGAATGAGGGTGCCCCCCAGGCACCTGGCGCAGCCCCCTGTACACATGCTGGGGGAGTAGAATACAGGTCAGCGAACAAAGGCTCCTCACTGCCTCCTTCACAGAGTCTCTTCGAGCTTTTTGGCCAGAGCGTCCTAGTAGTTGTCCCCAATTCAATGAGTATTTTGAGGCTGAGAACCAAACTTCTATGAACTGTGTCCTTGGAGTTGCTTCAGCCTCTCAAATATAGCAGCGATGGGCATTTATACATTCTCTCTGACGTGAAGTCTTTTTTTTGCACCCCATAAATGAGATTACGTTCAGAGCAATCGTTCAATCGTTTTGCCATGGAGACCAATAACCTCTGTTAATAATCCACCAGCACGGACAAGACACTCAGATTGTTGCAGTCGAAGACAGGGCTGGAACAAACAGCATGTAGATCTGCTGTACCTTTAATCTGACAGTGCCCCTGCCCAAATCAAGAAATATTTCCTCAGGCTCTTTATAAATCACTCGTATAATTGAGCTACATCCTGGTTAAAATCATGTCTCCCAAGTACTTAATGGTGTACAGTGCGTGTCTTTGTCTTTTCTGCTGAAAGCCTGGAATGCAGAGTTATCCAAAAGAGCTTCTGTTTTCCTCAATAGGGAAATAATTTGATGGTCTAGTAATGTATCACTGAGCTCAGGCCTACAGGGATTTTTTTTTTTAAAGATAAAATCAGAATAACTATTCATTTTATTGCCTGATTGCTGTATTTCTCTACTTGTTACCCATGTAATTAAGTTCTATCTCCTTCCCTACAAGATGTGATAGAATTAGCAAAACCGGTTTTCCTAATCAACTTGTTCAGTTATGTCTTCCATATAGGAATAAAAAACCTCTACTTTCACAAATGCTAAGGGGACATGAAGGTCAACATTGTGCAGAAAAGGAGAGGAAGGAGCCTGATGAGTCCACCGGGGCACAGAGGACAAAGTTGGAAGAGCAGAGAGCGTGAGAGGCAGTTAAATGCTCCCTTATCGGAAATGTTGCCAACTGCCAGGGGCATGATTCATTATTAACTTGCTTTGTGTCACTTAAAAAGGTCTCTGCCATGCCTGGCCCAAGGTCTACATTATGCGATGACCCTGCTTGGTACTGGTGTTGCGTAACAGCTGAATGTTGAAAGGGTGGAGTGGGGAGTTTTGCCAGTTCTTCACTGAGAGTTAAAATTAGGGTTAAAATTAAGAACAACAGGTAGAATTTTTTTAGGGAGTCCAATTTTAGCTAAATAAAAAGCAAGTAACATTACTACCATGGGGAGACCTGTCCTTCGAAGGAATTGGCCACCAGCTCCCCAGGAAGCAGTGGACAGCGCTCTGCGGAGGCTCTGGATCCTTGCCTGGGTGGGTTGTGGGGAGAGTCCAGAGAATTCAGATTAGATAGACGCTGAGGTTCTTTCTAAAGATTCTAAGAAATGTGCATTGTTGCTCTATAAAGATACTTAGAAATCTCAGGGTTGGGGTGAGAAAGAAAGAAGAAAAACAGCAAATGTTTATTGAGCACGCATAATTTGCCAAGTACAAATGAGCACTTTAAATGCTCTCAGTCTTCTGTGAAGAAGGTAGCATGCCCCCGCTACAGACGAAGACAGGCTTAGGGAGGTTAAGTGAATTTTGTAAGGTCATCCCAACGTCATAAGAGGAAGAGCTAAGATTTTATTTTATTTTTATTTATTTTATTTTATTTTTTTTGAGACAGAGTCTTGCTCTGTTGCCCGGGCTAGAGTAAGTGCCGTGGCGTCAGCCTAGCTTACAGCAACCTCAAACTCCTGGGCTCAAGCGATCCTCCTGCCTCAGCCTCCTGAGTAGCTGGGACTATAGGCACGAGCCACCACACCCGGCTAATTTTTTATTTCTATTTTTAGTTGACTTGCTAATTTTTTCTATTTTTAGTAGAGACGGGATCTCGCCGAGCTAAGATTTTAGATCAAGACTCTGTGCTGCCAAAACCCAGGCTGTGGTCTCTCTAATAGGTTTTCCCTTTTGGAAACAAACAAATAAAATCGTCCTTTCACTGTGTGAAAAGTATAGGTGTGTGAAGTATATGCACACAGTGGGAGATATCTCTTTTTGAACAAAAAATTGTGATTTTTATTTCTTATCACACAATGAATATGTGATTTTTTTTTGTAGAAAAATCAGATATATGAGGTCTGTCTGGAAAGCATACAGCCATTGTTAGTGTAATGAGAACAGTTACATCACTGGATACTTTCTGGACAGAACTTCGTACAGACAAGCAGAAGGAAGAAAAGGAAAACCAGCTGTGTTCCCACCAGCAGCAGATAAGAACAGCCATCACGTTGCTGGTAGTTGTTTTCCAACACCCCGAACAGGTGCAAATGAACTTTATTTACAATTCCCAGCTTTTGACAGGGAATCTTGGGAATGCTAACCCCAAAGAAGACAACAGTTCTAGGAGGGACAGGTTGGGTTAATCAAATGTAGATACCACATTGGAGCTGGGGAGCTTCCCTTTTGGGACTGGGCAGCTTTTTTCTATCTCCATGGACTGTGCCTTATGCTTCTAGAAGTTATCATCATGGTATTTGACCCATCATGGTCAACACAGCCTTGATGTTCTAGACTTTTCAGAGTTGCCTATCTATACTGAGCGAATTAATGAAAGTAAGGCATATTGTGGACCATGCTTTAGTTGTTTTTCAGGATTTTTAAGAAGATGTGGCACATGAGTAACCGTGAGGGAGAGCCTGAGATAATTTATTTCCTGTGTAGAGAAAGGGAAACACTGAAAGACAGTCACCTTTGTGGAATCCCCTGACCACTTGAAACTTCAAATGCGTGGATGGTGACTAACTCATTAATGGTTCAACTATTAATTATGCCTTCAGACCTTCAGGCAGGAAGTAGAACACCTAATCTGGAGGCTGGTGCCAGTGGGGGGAAAAGAGCCTTGGTGAAATTCACCCTCAGGAAGTGGGGGGTCACCAACAGATTGCTATAGGTGCTAGAGAATCATCCTTGTGATTCCCTGCTTGATGGTGTGTGGCTCGCTCTCTGTTCCGGTGGGTGTTTAGCAGGGCACCTGTAAACCAGAAAGTCTAGAGCCCTCATTTTTAGAGATAGCAAGGATGAGGGGGCTAAGGAGACTGAGCCCTATTCTATAGTCAGTTCTGTAGGGAGAAGACCTCTGTGTGAGAACAGACGGCAGCTCTGGAAGGGATAGAAAGGTAGTAGGGATCCTTGGGGGAAGAAAGGGAGAAAAGTGCAATCATGGTCACTGCCTTCACGGACCCCACCTCTGGGAGGTTTGACCATAGGGGATTAAGCAATAAGTACCTTCCAGTGATGCAGACGCTCAATTCCCGAGCCAATAAGCACAGGAGTGGGAGCTGCTTTCCCTGTGATTCTGATTACCAGCTGGGGGCATGCACAATGCTTAGGTGAAGCTTACTACTGTGTCTCAGCCTGCTGCACTTCTTCACCCTGAAATGGGTGAAGACTTGTTAACACAGTGCCATGCAATGCAATTAATAGGTGTGTTTGAGGCCAGGAGTGGTGGCTCATGCCTGTAATCCTAGCACTCTGGGAGGCCAAGGTGGGAGGATCACTCAAGGTCAGGAGTTTGAGACCAGCCTGAGCAAAAGCGAGATCCTGTCTCTATTAAAAATAGAAAGAAGTTATCTGGACAACTAAAAATACATATAGAAAAAATTAGCCGGGCATGGTGGCATATGCCTGTAGTCCCAGCTACTCGGGAGGCTGAGGCAGGAGGATTGCTTGAGCCCAGGAGTTTGAGGTTGCTGTGAGCTAGGCTGACGCCACGGCACTCACTCTCACCCGGGCAACATAGTGAGTCTCTGTCTCAAAAAAAAAAAAAAAAAAAAAAAAAAATGTGTTTGAGGCACCCACAATACATCCACTAATGTGCCAAGTACTGTCCCAGTGGTGAGCAAAATAAATCTAAAACTTGCTTTCTGTCCTCCTACTTGTGACAAGAGACAAGAGAACTCATGCACAGAGGTTAAAAGGGTTAACTGCCCTTTAGCAGAAGAATAAAGAATAGCTTTTTCACTTGTCTTAAAGTAGATCACTTATTTATTCATCCAACATATAGGAGGAAGATGGGAGAGTCTCCACACATTTGCATTTGAATAAAATTAAAGGCCCCATGTTTGCTTGCCTAGATTATTGGAATAGATGGTTAAAAGTGATTTCTCAAAGGAGAAAAAAAATATAGAAAATATTAGTGGGCATGGAATAATAAGAGCCATTTTATGACACTTTTGTTATGTATGTACAGATATTAAGTAATAATGCAACATGTTTGCTTACTATAGGTGTCCAATAAAAAAAAATCAAAAGCAGGAAGTGAGAGATAGTGATCCTTATAAAGGCAAAACTGATCTTACATGCTTTTGCTCAAAGCTCTCGGGAGGCTTCCATGGCCCTCAGATCTAAACACAGCCCTCCCTGATTGACCTTCCTGCCAACTCCAGCCTCCGTCCTCCTGATTCCCTCTTACACTTCTCTAGGACTCAGCCCTGTGGTCACTTCTTCCGAGAATTGTTTTACAAGAAAAGTTTTACAGTCAAGATATGTTTGGAAAATCTGGATAAAACAAAGCTAAATAGAGGTCTGCATGGCAGAACTTTTTAGCATTTTAAATTAGTGAATGCACTTGCAATTATGAAAGGAGAGCTGAGAAATACAGCTTCTAGTGTTTTCCAAACTTTGACGCTGGTAGAACACTTCTGCTGTGGCACAGCTGGCAGGAACAGCATTCCCCACAACATACTTTGGGAAACTTGGAGCTTGCTCACTTCCCAAGTGCTTGTGATGAACCTGTGTTGGCAGAGAGAAGGTGAGTGGTCACTTGAGGTGAGGGAAGTGTAACAAGAGGGAAGGTGGAAGATGGGATGAAGCACGATTTGGGGAGATTGTGCGGTGCTGGATGAACACCTAGGGTGGGGAGCTGGGAAGAGGGCTGGAAGGCAACTTGGACTCCATGGACCAGAAGAATGGGAAATATCTGGCCTGAAGGAAGGCAGTCGACACTCTTTAAGAGCTCTGATGCTTCATGACTGGCCTCTCCATGCCTGGGCTGTTTCAACATGAGTGTTCCCCAAAGGGCCACTGTCCTGAGAGAGGCTAACTACAAAAGAATCAAATAGCCTGGAGAACAAGAGGACGCAGAGACTTCTCTCAGACTACTCTATCTCAGAATCTAGAGTCCTCATCCAAGCATAACAAGAGCCGATAACAGTAACACTTGCTACATGCCAGGCACCAGGCTAATGGCTCTATGCTAGATGAGGAAACCAAAACAACTGGTAAATGCTGT